CCCTTTTCCAGTGCTATCCCCTTTATGGGTTTCTTCCCTTCTTTCTTCAACAGGACAGAAATAAAGTAAGTTAAAACAGGAACACAAAGCCAAAGTCCAATATTTCTGTTATTGTTACCACTCAGGTCAGGGTTCTCAGCAGTCCTACAACCATCTGTATGAAGGTGGTAGGGGACCCAGGCCCACTCTCTCCTCTGTATCATAACCTGGGTGGTACGATCAGTGGCTTGTTCGTTTAAATCTCTTGCTGCTTCCTAACTCAGGGCTTGCAGGTACCTCCTGCCTGGTAATCTTCTCTGATCCCTTCTGGAAGAACTGGGTTCCTCTGGATGACTTCTTCAGGTCTCACCCCGTGGAGCCCCTTCACTGTGGCTCTGTCTGTTCTGGCAGGGCTGCAGCCTTTTATCTCTGTTGTTGTTAGCCTGCCCACAGACTGCAAGGGAGGTCCCTTGAAGCATCTATACACCCAATCGCAATACCCTATGGCTAAAACTCAGATCCAAGCCTTGATCATCTCTCCCCTAATGAATTCAACCTCTTCCTCCTCTCTGGTTTTCATGATTCTCACCTGTCACCCTTCACTTAATCAAAAATACAGATAAGAGTATCTTCCTTTCTCAACGTTCAGATCACGTCATTGCCCTTTAAAACATCTCATTTTTACCTTCAGGGTTCTGCCCACATCTCTATTCTCATTTCTTCAAAATCTTTTTTTGCCCTTTTCCTAACTGTTCCTTACTCAGGAGTCTCATATTTTCATCTTTGTGCTTTCCTTCAGCATGTGGAAAAGTCCCCCATTTTCTAGTATACCAAACTATCGCCCTCTGTCATTCAAATTCCTCTTTAAAACTCTTTTCTCTGTAAATCCTTTCAACATTAATCAACCAATTACAATGAGAACATGAGAAAACTTTAAAATAAAGTATTTACCCTATTTTGAGATTGGGCCATTTAATATTTTGATTTAATACTGCCTAAGATACTCTTAGATCTAAATACCTTAAGGCAGTAACTGTCTTCCTCTACGTATTGCGTAGTGCTGAACATACTGAAAAAGCTCAATAAAGGTAAATAAAATAAAACAAATAACACATGATGAGCTATGTGTAAAAACAAAGTATAAAGGAGTTGCTACAGAATGGAACCAATTTACTTAAGTTTCAGTTCTAAAATAACCATCCAGCTCTTCAAAATGTTTTATTTTGTACATGTTTCAAAATATTTAAGACAGCAAAAACCTTTCAGGGTAAGACATTCAGCCTAATTTAGTTCTCACCTTATGTAGTCTTGAAAAGCCTTTACTACCTTTTTGGCAACAGCAGGAATGTGAATAGTCTCAAATGGTTCCACTACAGCACAGCTTCCACCCTTGTATTTGCCAAGGCGACAACCCACAGTTTTGTCTTCTTGATTTAAACTCATTCCAATCAAAAATTCACATTTGTTGCGGTATTCAGTCTAAAATTTTAAAATAAGAAATAAAATTACCTAAACTATATACATAGAACCTTGCATATCAACCGCCTGTCCTGAAACATCTGTTGTAGCACTAGTCTTACATTTTAATTTTGTAATACTAAAGTTTAGTTAGTGAATTTATTTCTTTATCGATGGCCTGAGACCCAGAATATTAAATTTCAGCCCATATGGAAATTCTAATTTCTGAAGAAGGGTCTAGTAATGATATTGTTGAAAGAACTTGAGTTATAGTTAGGAGGTTTTGCTATATCTGGGTAATAAATGCAAAATTCCTTTGAAAAAATCTGAATTTGTATAACAGACTAGTAAGCAAGCCTATGGAGAAAAAGCACAATCCAATATTTTTAATTTTTGTAAGGTTTCAATTCGTTTATAGCTTTTTTTTTTAAACTCCTAGATTAGTAGTTCCATTATGGTATTTATGCAAAAAGTAGTAAAGCACAAGCTTCTACACACGTACCAACCTACAGATTTTTTGCTACCACAGTATTACCCAACAGATAGTCCCCCACCCCTCAGACCAACATAGTTTGTTTACTTTCAGAGTGTATTACACATTATCACTCCATTCCCACAAGTTAGATTTTGAGGTACCTGTAATGGTGATGCTTTCACTCCCTCTACTGGGCAACAGATTTTATTATACTTCTGCTTCTGTACAAATAACCAAGGTAACAGGGCTTTGTTGTTGTTTCCTATTTCCCTGCAAAAGTTTAACAGATTTACAGAAGACAAGCCTTTCAGTAAATATATGTATTTGAAACAGATGAATCAGATTAACTGGCTGTTATACAAAACAATACAGGACCATTTACAGACATTCAGGGCTTTGGAGTGGAGCACGGAGCTGCAGGTTTTTGCCTGGAGCTGGAGCGGAGCCGGAGCACAGCTCCAAAGCCCTGCATCCAATTTTATTTTTCTTGTCTGAAAATCAAGTTATTTAAAACCTGAAGGATATTCTTCCACAAGAGTCTTGTCAATGGGAAATCTAAACTGTATTTACATCTTACTGCTACTAAATGCAGATTTTTAAATCTATATAAATACATAAAATAGCTACAGAGTTCTAGGATAAAGCAACTGTTGATCTGTCACCCCTTGGCTGGAATCACTGTAAAAAGGGAAACAAGAGAGTCCTGCATTTTTCTGTAACAACCTCCCTGACTGATTAAGGAATAATGTTGACAGGTAAAGGGAGTCTCATCCAGTCCTGCTTAAGTGCTGATGCAAAGTAGAATCTTATGATGATGGGACCTTGATGGGTATTTAAGCATGGAAGTGGGGAAAAATAACTTTGTCTGCTTTTATTTTTTTAAGTGTCTAATGACTATCAAGATTAAATGTTTTCTTTATATGGATAGTTATATAAGTGAATGAGGCATAGATAAAACTGTAATTTTATATTTAAAATATTTTCTTAGGAGTAATTCTTTAAAGACTAAATAAAATGTGAGAATTAGAATAGAGGGGTTGATAGAAGACCATCAGAATGATGTGACTGAAATCTTACATCTCACCACCTAACAGAGTTCATCCCTTATATCACTGAGAACCTGCCAATTCTAGCTTTTCAGTGGTATAAAATCTTAATTTTTAACCTTGGTGGCTTATGGAATAATTTTCCTTAAAACCATATCCCTTAATTTATCAGGGTCTTTTCAAACAGATTAAGTACTAAAAATATCAAATCCTATACATTAGAATAATGTAATTTTCAAGATCTGGGGTTGAGGTGGTAATTTAAGGAAAAGCATTCTTACATATTAAAAGAGACTTACTTATACTGTTATATTTGTATAGGGAATAGAGAAAAGATTTACTGGATTTTAGCTATATTAATATAAATTTATATTAAAGCTCAAACATTAGTAAAGTACCATTACAAAAAGAAATTACTTTGTCAGTTTCTGCAGCACTTGTTCACACTCTTGCTTCTTCTTTGTCAGCTGTTCTTCATATGGTATATTCCACAAAGGGGTCACTACATCTGCTATCTGTTTACTGAGAGACTCCTCTTCACTGTCTTTTGCAAAAGCTGGACGCTTTGCCTCTCTCTGTTCAGTGTCCTCCACTTCTTTCTTCCTCTTTTTTACAATGGGATCAGCTTTAGGCTTTGCGAGCCTAACACTCAAATATCGGCTCTTCCACATGACTCCATGAAGGACTTTCATAGCCTTGTCCCTTTCCTCCTCACTTTTAAATGTCACAAATGCAAAAGTTTGTTTCCCAAAAAGTTTTATCTTATGAGGGTTAAGTCCATATTTGGCAAGAAATTTCTTTACGTCATTAAAGCCAATATACTTTGGAAGGTTCTGAATTTCTACTTTATAAATCTCTGATGTAAACAAATCTCCTTTGATATATCTGTACATATCAGGGCAATTGGCTGTATTCTCTGCATGGCTACTATCTCCTTTGTCTTGCTTAATTTCCACCTCAGTCATACTTTCTACTTCTACAGAAGGGGCTGTATTTTCTTCTTCAGGGACACAGAGACTACTATTTCCTTCCATCATTTCTTCAGTCCTGTAAAGATTTCAGTTTTACAGATTTAATACTCTTCGAACAAGGACTTGTTGAAGTTAGAAAATGTTGGGAGTTTGAGCCACAATGCACCCCACCAACCCCTGCTACCAATATGCCACAACATGGTTCTATCACAGCACATGCCCTGGGCTATGACTATCACCATTTGTAATCATGGCCATGCCCCTCCACTCCAAACCCACCACAGCATGCCATCCCCCATTACCAGCGTACCACTGCCAAGATGCCACAATGCACAATACCATGCTCACATAACAGGGTGTGATGCCATTGCAGCATTCCACTCCGTACTACCGTGGTGCCAGGGCACTCCCCCATGTGCCATAGCAAAGGGCCATCACCGTGCCCCACCACCTCACCCCATGTACCATAGTGCAACGCCGCCGCCACCACCAGGTTGCAGCACTATCACTACACCCCCCGGCACCAGGAGAGCACCCTCACCCACCCATGCAGCATCCAGCGCACCAAGACACTAGCCTAGGGCATCCCGTCCGCGCCCCCCGGGACCACACCGGGATGCCACCGCATCTCAGCGCGGCTCCCTACTTCTGCGACCAATAAGCACCTATGGGGCGAGCGTCGGCTCAAGCTCCGCCGGGAGCGCTAGGAAAGAGGAGCGTGAGGGAGCCCTTCGCTCTCCTCAGTCGCAAGCCCTCTCCCCTACACACACCTCCCGCCCATCTCCCCGCACGACCCGTCCCCACCTCATACTGCACACATACACAGAAGGGGGGCGGGCTTCAAGGAAGGGGTGGGTCTTGCGTGACGTCACCGGGAAGCTAAAATGCCCGCGAAAAAAAGCGATTTTTTTTCATCCGTTTCCACAGATTCTGCCATGGAATCCGCCCACTGCATTTATAAAATCCCACAATCCTAATAATACACGATTAAAATGACCCCCCCCCCTTCCAGCACACACGCAGGCGCCATCTTGAGAGTAGAGAGACGCGGGATGGTCGCCGCCATGCCGCAAAGGCTGATGGGAAACAGCTCGGGAATGGGGTAAAAAGGTTGACTTGGGGGCATACACTAGATCTTTGGAGATGAATTTTCTTTAGAATCAGCCCGCGAGTGGGGGGTGCTGTACGTTTTTCGGGGGGAATTCGGGCTGTTTCCAAGACTTCGAGTAGGAGCCTGGAGAAGTTGCCCGGCCGGACGCCTCGGCGTGGCTGGGATTTAGTACTGTTAAAAGGCTAATATCTGGTGGAGGGGTCACCCTGTCCCCTACAGCTAGCAGCGTTATAAGAGATAAAGGGATCGGGGTAAAGTAGGCGTTTCCCATCAGGCCTTGCGGCAACGGCGGCGCGGGCTGCGGGAATGAGGTAAAAGCGGGAGGGGGCGGGGAGCTGCAAGCAGGAAATTCAGCGCCAAAGCTGCGGTGGGGGGAGAGAGCGACGCGAACGAGTCTAGTCTAGGAGCAGCGCCACCTCCCAGCCCCATGGCGGAGACCAAGGTGAGGATGCCGACGCTTCCCTTAGCAATCTGGGGCGGAGGGGCTCCCTGGGGAGTGCTGGGGCGGCCTGGGGCTCGGGAGCAGGAGGTGGAGTGTGGCGGCCTGGCGCTGAGGGAGCGGGCTAGGGGGGGGGCTGAGACGGTGGATGGGCGGCCTGGAGAAGCAGCGGGGAACAGATGGGCGAGAAGCCCGCGGGCTAGTCGGGTGAAGGGCCCTGGGGAGTAGTGAGGCTGGCTGGGAGAGCAGTGGGGTTTAGGAGGGACCCGAGGCCGAGCGAGTAGATGAGACCGGGGGCTGAGGAGGGAGAGAGGAGGGCGGCCTTGTCTTGGCGGGAAAGGGGGGCCCGGGTGGCTTTTCACCCAGCCTCCCCAGATGCACGTGGGGTCGGGTATTCACCCTGCTGGGGGCTGTCCGGACACACGTGCGTCCCGGTCTCTTGCTGGGGCCCATCCCTTTGCGGCCGGGGCCGAGGCGGACGGTGACATCCCTTTCCGCCTCACTCTGGCTCCTAGCCCTGCGGCGGGGTCGGCTCTGCCCCAAGCGGGCGTTTGAGCCTCCGCAGGCGCCACAATCTGGTTTATGACTCAGGAGCTTTTGAAGGAGCTCCCCCCATGTTACTGGCAGGGCCGGGGCTAGTCGTCCTAGACTCCCACGTGCCTTTATATCGCGGGCGGGTGGGATTTTATCGCAACACTGTGATTCGTTTTCTTTCGCCACCTCTAACATATGCTTATTGTTACTTACGATTTTCTTGTGGCGCCTGCAGGGAATCGAACTGGGGGCGGAATAAAGGGATCAGTTATCTCTGCAATGAGGTTTGTTTATCTCAGAGCTGGAGTCTATCAGTTCTACAAGCCTGGCCTGTGTTCTCTCTGGGATGCTTTCCCCCTTCTCTTGGAAACAGTCAGGCCTTGGTGCAGTGCACTGCAGCCATTCTTCTATCGAAGTTGTATTACAGTACTATGGCTGTTCTCCATTTTGTTGTGTGCTAGAACACTGATGACATTCAACAAGTGTCACCAAAAGGTGTGTTGTAGCATCTTTGAACTAACCCTTGTTTCCTGTCGAGCTATTACTTGTATTCTAGTAACAAATAAAAGCCCCAACCCAGTTGGGGGCCCTGTTGTTCTGTGTATTGTACATACACTTAGTGAGAGACAGTATCTGCCCAGAGTTTGTAATCTAAATTGCCAGTGGTGAGGAAGAATGGAATTATCTTCCTTTTCCAGATAGAGAACAGGCACAGATATTAAGTGATTTAACCAAGATCTCAGTCTGTGGCAGAGCTGGAATTGAATTAATATCTCCAGAGTCCCTTGCTAATGCCTTAACCATAAGACCATGCTTTCTCCCTCCCTGTGTTACAAAGAAACTGTTTGCTAGACTTCTGGAATATTCTTGTGGCTTCTTTGGCAGTGGAAGAAACACATTTCATTTCTTGGCTTCTTAAGTGAGAAGTCTCTTAGTGATTCATATATATTAAAATAAAGTCAAGAACAAAGACAACATAGCTGTAGGGTAAAGTGTTAAATTGGAAATTCAGTTGTGTGATAGTAACTCTTATCGTTCTATAAAGCCATATCTAAAAATCTCTATAACTATAAGTTTCTGATAGAGCACTCTTTAAATGGTATGTCCTGACATCTTGGGTTTTCTCCTCTCTCAATGACCTTTATAAGATCTTACTGAAAAGATAAACTGATCATATGTGCACCATTGTGATCTTAGGTGTTATAATTAAAATGCATACAGAAATTTTAAATTCAAATTGATATAGCATCCCACTGTGTATCTAATATTTTAAATGGACTTTTTCAAGAAGGCCATGAATGGTTTTTACAGAACTTCACACCTCCCCCCCCGCCCACCCACAACAGTTACTTAGGCTGTATTAGTAAATGTCCTTTCTCTCATTTATCTAATCAAATATTTTGATACATGATTGACCCAATGTTATAGAAGAGCTCCTATTGCAGCTGTCAGTCTGCTTGTTCCCTATTGATACTAAGCTGCTATATTAAATTGCACATATGAAGTCATATAATTTGAAAACACTAACTATATCTGAACCCAACACTTACATTAAAAATCTCACTTTTCTTAAATTTCACGTGTGCCATGATTTCATTTTGAGGGTTTTTTAAATCTCGCTCTCTATATGAATATTTCCTTAATATACAGATCTTGGTCTTTTAAAAATAACCTGCTTTGCGTGCACAGTGTCTTAAAACCAATAACTTAAATGATAAAAACAGACATGGATGTGGTGATAAGTATGCTCCTGAAGTTGTCTGGGATCCTAATAATGTAGGAGACTCTGAACTCGTGAACTTCAGCATCTAAAGTTCACTGTAAATGGAGACACTTGTAATGAATACCCCTTAAAAGCCTTCATTTGTAATAACTATTCTGTCAGAACTTTAAGCCTGTATGAAGGAGGACTACTTCAGTAACTTAAAACATATTATCCAAAACCAAAAATAGGGGAACAGTTTTTCCTAGCCTTAGGCTAGTTTGCTAATTCTAGGTTTCCAGCCAATACTTTAATCAAGATTTAAAAATAAAATCAGTGTAATATATTTAAATACCTCTAGCATTGCATGAATACCAACATTCTTTTTAACCTGAGACATTTTGATACTGTTCTAGTGTTACTAGATTGGGTTATATCTAAAAGCCAGACTTAGTGCTGTTACTTTAAAACTTTTGAAGGTTAATTAATCAGCTTAATTTTTTTAAAGGAACATTGTAGCTATGTTATCTTAATTGTTTATTAGTGTGAGGATACTAGGGAGAGGGGATCTCTTGCTTTCTCTTGGCCAGGCTAATTGCACAAACCAGGGAGCTCTTTGTGTTCATCTGTTCCACCCCACAAGCTCCCTGTGTGCCATGCTCCCATCCCCCTCTATTTTAAGGACTTTTACAACTCCTCCATCTACTCCCTTATGCCTAGGACTCTGTGTGCCCATGTTTCTCCAAAAATGCATCCTTTTTCCTTTTTCATGGCATATATAAAAGGAAGTCTTGATTTTTGTTTTCAAAGAGCTAGCACAGTGCTTTATGAGACACAGACCAAAACCTTTTTATTTTCAAAAAACTTTTAGAAATTTTCTGCCCTCACTATTTCCACTGTGACTAGAGTCCTTCTGTATGAATAGTTTCTTTACTGCTTTGGGGTAGGTTAGGGGTGGGCAAACTTTTTGGCCTGAGGGCCACATCTGGGTATGGAAATTGTATGGCAGGTCATGAATACTCACAAAATTGGGGGTGGGGTGAAGGAGGGGGTGAGGGCTCTTGGGTGGGGCCAGAAATGAGGCTGGGGATGAGGGGTTTGGGGTGCAGGAGGGGGCTCTGGGTTGGGATTGAGAGGTTTGGAGGGTGGGAGAGCGATCAGGGCTGGGACAGGAGGTTGGGGCATGGGGAGGGAGTGAGGGGTGCAGATTGGGGTGCAGATGGGGCTGGGGATGAGGGGGTTGGGGTGCAGGAGGGTGCTCTGGGCTGGGATCGAGGGGTTTGGGTGCAGGCTCTGGGTGGTGCTTACCTCAAGCAGCTCCCGGAAGCAGCAGCATGTCACGCCTCTGGATCCTACGCAGAGGCACAGCCAGGCAGCTCTACGCGCTGCCCCGTCCGCAGTCCCCGCAGCTTCCATTGTCCGGGAACGGTGGCCAATGGGATCTGCTAGGGCAGCGTGCAGAGCTCCCTGGCTGCCCCTAAACATAGGAGCCAGAGGGGGGACATGCTGCTGCTTCCGGGAGCTGCACGAAGTGGCTGCCGACCCCGCTCCCCAGCTGGAGCAGGGCAAGCCCCAAACCCCGCTCCCCAGGGCCAGATTAAATCGGCTGGCGGGCTGAATGTGGCCCGCCCACCCCTGGGGTAAGGGATACGTTTCACCATTGAAATGGATGGGGAATACTTTAAGGTTAAACCTGGGTTTACAACTTCCTTCAAAGAAGAAATTGGAAAATGAGTTGATTTATTTTATAACGGTAAGAGATTAGTCTTAATATACGTTGAAAATATGGCAGCTTCTGATTTTACTAATACTTAACTTTAAGGCTGTTAATTATAAGTGCTGTTATGGTTTGTATGCATGATCGAAGTTGCTGAACTCAGTAAGCAAAAAAGCATGTCTTCAGGCTTGTCTATGCGGTGCATTCATGTGCCCCCACTGGGATGTAAATTTTAGTGCTTTCCAGCATGTGATGCTCTAGCAGGTCTTTTGGACCCTGCTGAAATGCACTAAAAGTTCCCTAGTGCATGTCATAGTCCGGTTTGAAACGGGACTACATCAGTTTGTATTAGAGAATTTTTAGTGTCCACCAGCAAGATCCACACAGTCAGTGCACCATACTCTGGTGTGCACTAGAATTTACACCACAGCTGGTGTGCACCTGTGCAATATGTAGACAAGCTCTTAGGAACACTCACTCAGGAGTCTGTTTCACTAATGTGAAAGAAATTTCTTCTCTTTCCAAGAGAGAAGGTTTATACTGCATATTTTAAAAGGCTGAATAAAGTTTAGATGTATGGAGTTCAGATTCTGATGTTGTACTACTTACACTTTGTTAATGTATATGTAGTTGGAACATTCAGAGTAGTTCCTAAATACCTTTGGTAACATGTTAAATACAGACGTAGCCACTGCAGAACTGTTCTTAAAATTGCATTATTTCAATTTGGCATTCTTTTCGCAGGAAACGCATGAGGAACATGACACCTCAACTGAAAACGCAGATGATTCTAACCATGATCCTCAATTTGAGCCCATAGTTTCCCTTCCTGAACAAGAGATCAAGACCCTTGAGGAGGATGAGGAAGAACTCTTTAAGATGTAAGTAGTATGGCACTGGGTATGTATCTAAACGCTAGTTACTTTTAAACTTGGAAAAACACTAATAAAAGGTAGGAAGATTGCTTGTTGCAAAATACCACACGGGCATTTTGGCCTAAGACAATGTAGTACTAGTAGAAAGAAAATAGCACATGATATAACTAATGTCTGTGCCCCTGGAGTGTTGGGGCTGATAGTGTAACATGATGAAATCCTGACTCTCTAGTGATATCAAATTGATATTATAAAAGTTTGGATTAAAAAAAAATGTAAACCTGTTAACTCGAATTGTGCAAAAATGTTGGGTCTAGAGATGTGTAACTGTGTCACAAAGTAGGTTTTTCTTTTTTTAAAGTTAACATGTCCTACTCTGTGCTTAAATATTTGGGTCATCATGACACTTCTCTCTCTCCCCTTCCATTGTAGAAGCTGTCTTCTTACTTACTGAATCAGTATTTTATAGACTGGAGGTGTAAATGCCCCACCCTCTCTAACTCTTCAATGGTTCCCTTCTGCCATCCTCTGGAGCGGTCATGGAAACACCTCTTGCTCTTTCTATTGTGTTAGCAGACATCAAATTGTAATAGTTATATGATTAGAAAACTGGGCAAACTGGCTTAATCTGAAATGTTTAAATTTTGTAGAATGCCTTGAACTTTTCCTAAGCTGGAGACCTCTTTAGAGAAAGAAGTGTATGTAGCACAGGAGTTAAGATGCATTCCTCTTGCTCTGTGATGCTCCTGCTTCAAATAGGCATGAAGTGCATTTGGGAAAAGTCAGATGGCCAAAAGTAGTCATTTTCAAGCTCTGTTCCAGAGTGTGCTCCTGTAAGAGGCTCTGATAACACATGGTTCTACGAGAACATCTCCAAAAATTGACCTGCATGAGTAGCGTGATCACTAAGCTTTTCTGTGTGATGCACAGTCCCAGATGAAAGAAGCCATTCTCTTATAAAGGCAACCCTTAAAGAAACACTGAAATAGGTTCTGCTGTCTAAGGATCAGAGGGTCCTTTTAATAGAGTTTAGGAAAGTTCTTCTTAAGGTGCCAGCAGTTCAATAGGTTATACAGCAAAAGGAAGTGTTTTGACATAAATTTGCTGAGACCTGGCTGGATGCCAGTGCTCTGGGCTTTCCTGAATCCTAGGGTTCCAAAAAAAGATAAGCCACCTTGAATCCAGGTAGTTGATCCGCAGGGAGGCAAAAAGAATCTTGCGGGGGAAGAGACATGTTTCTGCACATGTGCAGTGGTGCAGAATTCCCTCACGAGTAGATAGTTGGAGAAAATAACATATCTGGAAAAGAGGCTGGGCAACTACTTTTTAAATGTTCGTCTCGCCTTTAACAAGTTTGTTAATTAACAAAACTGAAAGTAGGCCATGAAAGTAGGCCAACAGAGCAGGCTTCATTTGTGTTTTTGTTGAATCATTGGTTGTAATTTCAGTGCACTAATGGCATTCCAAATATACACAACAGTGTAACAGCTCTTCTGTAACTTAAATTTGTGTGCCCTATGATTTAAAAAAAGCATGAAATTCAATTTTTGATGGAATTAATTCAGTGCTAATATGGAACTGTTTAGAAATTACACAGACATTCTTTCAGCAAAATTTTGGTGGGGCAATGAAGTTGTTTTTTAATGACTCCATTTGTACAGTATTCTGTCCTGAACTAGTTCATTGACTACTGATAGCATGGTGCTCAGTTTGCCTACAAAATCTGTCATCTTGTACTCTAACTTGTTGGTGAGGACTCTGGATTTATTTCCTCTCTCCTAAAAGCTCTGTGGAATCTTAATTTTCACCTAAGACACATGGGCTGAGGGACCTTTTATTCAGCGTGGTTTGTTCTTGCATACAAACTCTAATCTCTTGCTCTCTTTCTCAAGGCGAGCAAAGCTGTTTCGATTTGCTTCAGAAAATGATCTTCCAGAGTGGAAAGAACGAGGAACCGGGGATGTGAAACTCCTGAAGCACAGGGAGAAGGGAACAATTCGCCTTCTCATGAGGAGAGATAAAACCCTAAAAATCTGTGCAAATCATTATAGTATGTTTGTTCCATTATTTCCCGTAACTTCCCTTTGGCTGTCATCTGTTTTTATGTGCAATATAGTTATCAAGTCTTGTAGGATTCATGCATGTTTTGTTTACCCTAAAAATGGCTTGGAAGAATGGGCCAATGGTCTAACAGCAGCAAATAGACAGGTGCTGTGTATGCATCCAGTTTGATGCCTGTTTAACTTATTAATTGTGCACAGTTCCATAATATTGCAGGTGAATATATTTACAACCTAGTAAATTAAACAGGCATCAAAATACTTTGTTGCATATTTTAGTTTTGTAATGAAGTCTCTTCAGATGTTCATCCATTTTCAAGGAGATCTAGCAATGTGGAGTATGGAAGTTCTGCAAAGTCTTAAACTTTTCCACTGAAATCATGTAAGATGGCTGAAAAGATTGTCTTGACACGAGTTGAGGAAAAATTGTTTGAATAGAAATCAGACATGGAAAGTTTTGCTGAAGGGAGACGTTTGAAGCAACTGAAAAGTGTAATTGGAAATAGCATTTTGTTTGTCTATGGTCCCTGTACTTATTACATACACTAAATAAAAGGCCTGGGCATGAACAAAAACTAGAACTATGGGTTCATCAAGCTTGTTACTTCTGCTGAAACTACAGTTTCTCTAGTTTCGCGCACTTGCACCAGAAAAGGGTAAGCAAGCGTAACAAGGCAGTTAAAAAGATACTATTCTATGCTGAATATTTGTAGAGTTTGTTGTCCAGGATACTGAAACAGAATTTTAAGATGGCATCAAGGGAGGAGGGAGAAAATCACTTAACTTCCCTCTGAGATTATTCATTTAAGTGCTATCTATAATACATAAGATTACCAGCAGTAGAAAGGGAGAAACTTTATTATTTTATTTGGATGCTCTTGTACCTTCCTTTGAAGCATCTGCATTGGCCACTATCTAAGAAAATACTTTAGACTATTGGTCTTTCAATAGGGGAACTTTGCATTCTAAAATGGTATTAAATTGGAACGATAATTTTTATTTTGGGGGGGGAGTAGTTTGAATAGAAGTGTGTGGTTAGCATTCTGTTTGGCAGTATTGACCTCTCATTGCAGATTGTTCTAGGACATGGGAGAGAACAATATGGGCACCATCCTTTTTTTTTTTTTTTTTTTTTTTCTTTTCTTTTCCCTCCTCCCACCCCTCCAGCTAGAAATAATTTTGCATTACAATCCCCTGTGAGGTATAAAATATTTTATTTACTTCATCTTACTAAGAGCTAACTTTCTTAAGGTATTTGGGCTTATGTGGAAATGTATTTCAAAATGTTATATGCAGCTGGACTAATCAGTTCTTTTTCTTTGTAGTTACACCTTTAATGGAGCTGAAGCCTAATGCTGGAAGTGACAGGGCATGGGTCTGGAACACACATGCTGACTTTGCAGATGAAAGCCCTAAACCTGAACTTTTGGCAATCCGGTTCCTAAATGCAGAAAGTAAGTTATGGCACAAGATCAGTTTCTTCTGATATTTATGCTATGTGCCTTAGGAAGTAACCTTGGGCCATTTAATACTGCACAGTATTCTACAGTAAATGTATGAAAGAAGTTACCGCTACCTTTTGTAGGTCCCATGGTAGAAAAGAATAAATATTCCCTGTATTTTTAAAGAATCTATCCCACTGGCTGTAAGCACTCAAAATGGGGTCAACGAGGAGAAAAAAAACACATTTGCGCATAGAAAGCCACCCTAATATTTGTCTGTAAGGACAGTCCCTTCTATCTAAATAGTACTGCAGCAGAATTAATTCAGAGTGCAACTAGTTAATTAGTAATGCTCAGAATATGTAGATAAATAGAGTAGTTATGCTCCCTCTTCCATCCAACACCATCTTTATAACTTTTTTTTTTTTTGGTCTTGATAAGTGTGCTGACACTCTGTTTTCAAGAGAGCTTGTTAGTGTTTCCAAATTTCAATGCAATAAAACTCTAGGACTTCAACCAGTGTATTGATCTTACTTTCATTAATTACCTCAACTTCATGTTTTAATGAAGATTAAATTTGTGGCATTACAAATACTGTATGGAAATCATCACCTTGTATTAAATCTTCCATTCAGGCACATCACATCTCCCTTAGAATCCCATACTTTACTGACTGCTACACTGAACAAGTACTAGGTGTTAATATCCACTTGTCTCTTCCTTCTAACATATCAAATGAAATATCCTCTAAGTGGAATATAGTAGTCCTAACAACCACAGATAACTTGGACAATAGGTTATAGTAAATCTTTCTAGACTAAAGTTTTATTTTTTTTAAAGTTATATATTGTTTTGATATAATGCTCCCAAAGTTACCATAGTTTGATCATTCATAGAAATGGTGCAAGATTCTGTTTCTGTTCTTTTATGTTAATTAAAGGCTTTGAGCACTGTGGAGGAATCACACTCCTGTTGGAGGGAGTGTCTCATATCTGTGGTCAGAACAGGCAAATTCTCACATCTGTTTGTTCAAAATATCAAACTAATTTGACTGTGTAGTATCTCCTCTAGGTAACTTAGGATAATAGATGCCATGATTTGGGAATTGGAGGTGAAATTATTTGTATCTTGGTAGCACCTGAGTACCCCAGCTAGGAGTGGTTAGGGACTATCCAGACATAGAATGGAAGCCACTCTCTGCCACAAATACCTTACAAACAACAAGATAAGTGACAGATTGTAGTGGTTGGGCTGGAATTCCCTACTTGGCATGCCAGACTATGCATTCATTCCTAAATAGAACATGCAAAGACTAACTGTATGAGAAATAGAATGAGACTTGGAAAACAAAATGGCTGCCACACTTCTTCCCTTCTCACCACACCCCCCCCAAATGGCTACTGGGTGAGTGACCTGCTCTCTGGGGCTGCTGAAACCCCTTCTGCCTGTGACTCGGGCATCCAAGGAGAATACTGTGGTGGCTGCACAACCAGCTTGATTTTTCTCTTCCAGTTCCTGTCTAGTCTAGTGGGTAGTTCTTGTAAGGGGAGAAGCACTTCTAGATCCAGCTGTTCTCACTAGCCCTTAAGCAGTTAATGCAGCAAACAGTGTGTGACTGTCAAAGACCATCATAACTGCTGGCTTCTTATTGTGCATCCCAGATAGCTTTCAGGTTGCATGCTACTAGTCTTGTGCCAGTGGGTTAGCCAAACTAAAATGTCTAGCTTGACACATAGGAGGAAGGTAAGATGGTAGTAAACAAAAATGCTACCAACGTGTTCCATTGCACAGTTGGGATCTTGTGGCAGATCCATATTAACACATGTTGGCAAACAATGTTTTCTTCTGTTTCACCTTTCTAATACAGCATCCTTTCTTCTTCAGGCAAACTTTTATTGAAACCAAGCCTTCTATTTAAACCCCTGAATCCCCTACAAAAAAAAGTCTATTTGGAGGAATAACGTTAAAATCCCACTCCTAAACTTATCTCTGAGTTTGAGGGGTAAGGGAGGGCTTTCATTGCCTCCTTTATACACTGCCTTGCAGTAGCAGATAAGAGAGTCTAGAAAGCAGACTATTAGTGGAATTCCTTCTTGGGTTCATAGATAAAGAATTAAAGTTCAGTTTCTGGTCCTGTCAAGGGGTGTCACTTTGCATGATAAACTCCCTTTCAAAGAAGGTCTTCTGAAAATCCATGAGGAGGGTGCACACTCCTAAGAGATTCTTAAAAAAAAACTTCTGGCTTCATATTCAGTCTTTAAAAATGTGCATTTTCCTGTGGAGCAATAGTGACCTCAAGTGGCCAGTCATGCTATCCTCAATGTGGGCTTATCAAATTATCCTTTCTGGTTCTGTTTTGAGAGTGACTTGACTGGTTATCTGCTTCTCAGATTATTTCAGCTAGAAAGGGTTGGAGGGATGCTTATTGTAATTGAACTGATAAAAACTTTCTGATAATAGCTGCTATCTTTGAAATGGAACTGTTCAGAACCAATCGCTTAGACTGAAATGTATTGAAGTATGTTGTCTTCAAAAGAATTCTGGTTAGCTGTAACTTGAGCCATGTTACCTGCATCTTTTTACTGATGGCATTGTATGTTGTGTGTGTGGTGGTGGTGGTGGTGGTGTTGTTGTTTAATAAAAGTGTACAGTTTGTGCTTATGAAACGGACTGGATTTTCAACTCTGGAGACTGAAATTCTCCCTTCAGGTGCAGTATAGGCAGTGATGGTGCAAACTTGCCATTCCTCCTTAGCTGTATCCTGGCGGAACTATCTCTAGGTGTGAGAAAATAAATGTCTATGGTCCTCTCAGTCCCTGCCCTCTGACTGTGAATAAGAATGTGTGGTAGGCTTCTGAAGTGAATGCCTAGTAGCTAGCTGCTAAGGTATGGCTAGAAGTTCAGCTAGCTTAAAATAGCACTTAGCAGCAGAACCTTAAGATGAGAACTTGGCAAAAAAACCCACTCAAAGGTGCAACATCCACTGCTTTCTTTGGAGAGTGTTTTTAATGAGAAATAATTGAAGCCTGTATACTTAAGATCACTTGAACTAAGATGAAATCCACTAAGTGCATATTTCTTGACAAAAAAGGTAGTCAAACTAAAATGTAGAAATTAGTTTTTCGGGATAAATGTCTGTTTCAGAACAAATAGATCTAAAGAATAGAGGCATTGTAAATAATTTAAGGCAGTGGTTCTCAAACTGGGGGTCGGGACCCCTCGGGGTTGCGAGGTTATTACATGGGGAGTCGCGAGCTGCCAGCCTCCACCCCCAAACTCTGTTTCGCCTCCAGCATTTATAATGGTGTTAAATATATTTTTTAAAGTGTTTTTTAATTTATAAGGTGGTTGCACTCAGAGGCTTGCTATGTGAAAGGGGTCACCTGTACAAAAGTTTGAGAACCACTGATTTAAGGTAAAGAAGAAACATTTTTTCCTTCAAACAGATGCACAGAAATTCAAGGCAAAATTTGAAGAATGCAGGAATGAGGTAGACAAGAAAGCAAAGAAAGGTAAGATGTTAATCTCCTCTTGGAATTTAAATGATTACTTCATCTTTTTGTCCTCTCCTTTCCCAAGTTTTAATGCCTATCGTGGGGGAGAGGGAATATCCTTAGATTGCTCACTGTAATATTTGGTGCCTCTTGGCAGACTCACTCTGTGCCTGACTGCAATCTTCAGTCCAGGGGCTTTTTCAGTCTGCTAGAGTAATGGTCCGGGGTGTTGAACTCTTCTTTCCTTGTAGAAGACTTGCAATTGCTCCTGGGACATAATTTTTAGGGTAGTTATTATAGAAAGGCTTTTCATTATTTATACAGAAAACATATACTACAGTTGAGTAACAGTTTTACCCTACTAATTTTTTTTTTTTTTAATCTTCCTGTGTTCACCAGTAAATACCCCAGTTGCAGGATTATATTCTAAACTAATTTTTGAAACTTGGTTCATTTTGTTTAAATTGTAAAGTTACTTTACCAATTTAATTTGGTTCCGTATGACACACACACACACACACACACACACACACACCCCCTACATATAATTGAGAGAAGCTCTGTGAACAAATATCTTCAATTTCATATAGAGATTAAAAATTTAGACTGGAATTCTGAGTTTTGATCTACTAAAGGTGTAAAGTATAGACTCCTACTGGTCGGCAATTCAAATGCTTCAGGAAATCGGAGTGGGTTAGGCAATGCAGGAAACTGAATTCCCTTGTAAACTGTAGCCTTAGTTCTCTCTCACTCAAGCAAAGATGTTGGAGTGGCAGAAGAGAGGAGGATAGAGACCTGAATTGCAAATAACTCGATACTAGGATAAGGATATTATCTAAGGAGCTGGAAGTTGTATGGAACCCAGCACATCTAATTCCACAAAATATGCCTTGTCAGTAGTTACCCTGTAGCAATCAAAAAACTGTCCAAGAGGGCACTGAAAAGGGGTACCATCCCGTTCTTAGTCGGTAAGCTATGGCCTAGTGTAATGACTTTTTTTTTTTTTTTTTTTAACCGGAGGGGGACGGAGTGAGTCTACATTAATTTGGCATGGGATGGATCAACAAGGGACAAGAAACAGTATGAATCATCTTAGTGTATGGCAGAGAGTTCAAGGAGTTCAAAAAATACTTTATCCTTATCCTCTCTCTAAAGCCAATTACACTCTTTCTTTAGTAAAACAAGTTAACACAGCCTTCCCACTGTTAATTAAATCTACCATACTGTGTGTAACTTTTTCTTCAAACAATCTCTTAGCAGGCACAGAGAAAAATGATAGTGCTGACAAAGTTGCTGAGAAATTAGAAGAGCTTTCTGTAAAGGAAGAGAGCAAAAAATGTGAGAAGAAAGAAGAGACCAAGGAAAAAACTGAAGAAAAGCAATAAATCATCTTGGGCCTTGTGTTTTTTCCTTAATTTTTTTTAATTTTTACAAGGGACTTTATAAAGAACTGAATTCCAACATTCAGGTTGTTTTTTCTAAGCTTTTGCCCTTTTGAAGATGTCTTCAGAAAATCCATTCCCCAGTCATGAAAATGTACTGTGCTAACTTTCTTTTCCATAGTGGAAACACTTATTTATAGTCATCCAAAAGAGTGAATAAAACAAATTTGAAAACAGCATCAAAGGACAGAACTGAGTTTTCTATACACTTCAAACACTTGTGACTATAATTCTTGCACTTGGTGTTTACATATTTGAGGGTGCATATCTTCATATAAGTGATGTAATCAGATTAGATTAAGTGCATTTTAATCCTTCCTGTTGGTAAAATTATGCAGACATTTCTTGTATGTTATGTTAAATTAGTAGACTTAAGCAGGCCTCTTACACCAGTTTTAGGTGTTTGCGTTTGCTAATTGAGGATTGTTCCTGCTTGATGAGATACATACAGTTTTCTTTAGCAGACCAGTATACCTATTACTTCCTACAAGGCTGTAGTGCCACATAATTCTGGATGGTAGAATTTATAATACTCCTGGCACAACTCCACTGGTATGATGACCTCTTATGGCAGACAGTAGTGGAAAAAGACATCCTTTGACCTATCACTGGATGTAATTTAATACAGTCTCATATAGGTTCTTTCATTACAAAAAGATAAGTAGGAAGCTGCGTTTTTTTTAAGTCTTAATGACTTTCAAAAGCTCTTTTAACCATGCTAAAGGATCAAGAGTGCTGTTTGCGTTAGAAAAAAAATTATAAAACCTACTTATATTGTAGATAGGACCATGGATCACTCATGATGTGCCATTCACTGACTCTTAAGGACCATCTGTTTACCAGAGATAGTAAGGTTTTTGTTTTTTTTGTTTTGTTTTTATATTTACTTAATGTTAGGGATGAATCTAACCTTGTTAGACAACATGCCATGGAGCTCCTCAAACCAGAGCTTCCCATGTTTTTTGCTGTGTGCCCCACCACCACCATGTGAGTGGCATAAGAGGGTCCCCTAATCCTGCCCATCCAGGGCAGAAAGTGACTCATTGAGACAAGCAGATGGCAGGACCCAGCTGGGCCTCCCTGGAGAAGTGCATAGCCTCCCTTTCATTCCTGCAGGGTTTAAAATAGACAGGGCTATGGCTTTCTGATAGAGTGGAGGGCCACAAACAAGAATGCTCAGGAAGATTGCAGTAGTCAGTGAAGCGTGGGAAAGCAGCAGGCTATGGGTGGGGTTGCATGTGCTCTCTTGCCCCAAACCTCCCTGTATGTTCTCCCTAGCCTGGACACCTGGAGCCCCTCACCCCAACTCTCACACCCCAGATAACCTCCCACAGTTTGAAATACAATAGTGTAAGCAATACACTCCAACAATCACTTTCTAAATTTGGCACTGATGTGTTCAGAACTTGCAATCACTTTACCAGAATTTGTGGAGTTATAAAATACTTGCATTTTAGAAAAGTATGAGGAGGTACTAATACTACTACAAAAATATTAAACCTATAATTTGAATATGCAAGATGGAATATAATGTTAATATGCTCCTAAAGTGGGAATAAGTATTATGGTTCAAGCTGGTCCTTTAACAGTGGTTATTAGCAATGGATCTACTTCGTTTCTAACTACTGCTAGAGTTTTGGAAGACTTAAACCAGGATAGAAAACACAACGAAAAGCCTTTACATTCAGTAAATGTCTTGTTAGTTTTTTGGTGGACAATTTTGTTGTACAAAGATTAAAACAACTATCAGTAAAACAATTATTTAAAAATAAACTCAATCTAGTCTTTCTAAACTGTAAAGGTGTAATGACCAATAATATCTAAAAGAGGGAACTGAATTTTGATAGAGGGTCTTAAAAGCCTGCTGACTTCCTCCATTTATGAAATTTAAATTCTCTAAGACAAGACAAACTACATGGGAAAATGAGCATTAAATATGCTTTAAATTTGTGTAAATACCTTTTTGGTGTTATAGTTCCAGATTTGATCAATTTACTATAAAGAAGGTACTCCATTTTATATTAAAGGCAAAAAATAAACTTTTGGCATGAGCAAAGTTCATTTCTCTTCCCCTATTACTAGCACAGCAGATTTTCACAAGTACTGTCTGGTGTGGGATTTGCCCCCTTCCAAACACCAGATACATAAATCAAATGTTTTAGAACTATAAAGCTCCTAGGGAATAAAACAAATACCTCAGCTGTCTCCTCCATAAGGGATCTCAGCAGCATGATGTGTTTGATATGTGTTTTTGATTTAAGATAGTATTGTATGTTTCCAAATACTTAATTTTACTGCCATCTGAATGTAAAAAGCCAAAATGTTATGTATTCATGAAAGCCACTGTAGATTTAAATGGAAGCTGACAAGCAATGTTTTTAAATTTGTTAAAGGGGAGGTGAAGTTTACAAATCTAATTTCAAAATAAACTATGCGTTAAATTTTTTCATTTAAAAGATTTGCTTTTTTATTTAAAAAAAACAACAAAACCTTGTGTTGGAAATGCAAACACAATAGATTATGCTACTGCATAAGAAGCAGAAAACGGGCCATTCTAGTTTTGCTGTTGAGCCTGACTGAAAAAAATTAATACTCATGTACACTTTTCTTTTTTTTTAATCTGTTAATCCCAGGTATTGTTACAATTAAAATAAATTGTCATTACTTCATTGTATGATTTTTCAGTCACTCATGCATGTGTGCTTAGTTTTATTGGCTTGATATTTTTACCCTAGAGTTCAGGCTTTACTTCATGGGCCATATTCATCCTTAGTGAAAGTCCATTGGTATGAATTTTTCCCTAGGCCTTTGTGTAGTGCTCATATCTTGTTAGTATTCACATTGCTTCTTCTGTTTTCCAAGTAAAACACCAAAACAATTTCTGTGGAAAAGCATTTCAAAGAAAAGTGTTTTTGTTTTGTTTTTGTTTTTTTAATTAAACTGAAACATTACTACTTTGTGTTTTAAAGTATCTCAATCTATTGGGTTGCTGTTCTACAAATAGAAAAGCAAAAAGTGGTTTTAAAAAAGGGATCTTAACATAAAAATTAGACTTGAAAAGGAATCTTTAAGTTTTGTATAGAAAACTTTGTATAGTCATTTTCATAAACTCAAGATGTTGGCTACCATGTTCTCAGGATGTTTTTCAGTTTGATTTATTTCCCCTGCCCTTTTATGACAGTATTGCTCACTGTTGATAGTTTCCATTTAGGGACATGTTCTGATGTATTCACCAGGTGTGTGTTGGACTTTAATGGTGTATATGTAAAATTTATGTGAATCATTCTACTTTTGCAGAATCTTCAGTGCTTAGTGAAGAAGAGATACTCAGAATGACAGAAACAAACTTATTTTCCACTTACCAATCTGAAAGTATCCTCCAAGCTCAATAAGGAAACATTTTTCTCTTGATGAAAGGGAAGATTCTTTTTTTTTTTTTAAATAGAATTACTTGCGAAGTCTTTACAACTGCAGATCTCAAATCTTACAATTAGTGTTCTAGATTTGTTTATATTACCCACTTAATGAGCTTCTAAAGGAACAGTATTGATAAAGGCTTGTATAAATGTTTTCACTATGTGTTTAGGAATTTGCATCAGAGGACTTAAACTACATATGGTATTATAGTAATATGATGTATGAAATTAGAGATAGCTCAGACATCCTTTCTTGTGAAATTCTTAGTTATATGTTGGACAAATATACTGCAATAGTAACTCATTCCTATATTTGTAGAGGTATCTAGTTGAATTACCAAATCAAATTGTCAGTTATGAAATTGCAGGTATGGAAATGGGAGTAACACAAATTTGCTAAGGAAGTACTTTTGAAAGTTCAATTGAGATAATTCAGTGGTTACTTCTATTATGCTTACGCTTTCAGTCCTACTGAGGAAATTCACAGGGTTCCATTTTTGTATGTTACCAGCTATTTACTCACTTCAACCCCAGCTTGCCTCCAGAATTTTTAATCTTATTTTATGACAATATATAATATATTGGGGGAGGAGAAGTCTTTAAAAATAATGCACCCAAAAGCTACGTTAAGGGCAGAACATGCTTAAATTTGTGACTTGCAGAATTCTTGCTTGCCTGATTGGCAGAAATTATGCCATCAATATGAACAGAATGGTGATATTTTTCTTGTTGGGATATAGTGATCAGCTGTTTGGGAGAATGGAGAGAATTAAGTTGTGGGGCTAGTGATAATCCTGTGTCCAATTTAGAAACAGCTGAATCCTCTATATAGATTACGAAGGCCTGTGTGTGTGTGTGTGTGTGTGTGTTTGTTTAAGATCTGCTTATTCCTAAACCTTATCGTTAATAATTTTTTAAAAATGCCTTCAGTGTACTTGTTTAAACTTGACCTTTAAATTATTTTGAAGTCTGCATTAATGGGTGTAAATTTCTGTAGAAGAGGAACATATTCAGTAAATCTTACTCTCTAAACTGTGTCCGTGCATACCTTAGATAAGGTAGGTGCATATTAGAAAATTGCTAATACTGAGCTTCATAAGGAGGTAAACACAAGATTGCATAAAAACAAGCGACTTGAATATATTAAATACTGGATGCTTAAACGTTACAACACAACCCAGACTCCTCCCAAAAAATTGTCTTGTCATTATGCATATTGATGAAAGCTGCTGTCTTATGTAAAGCAGACCCTTTCCCAAATGTCATCTCCTGCAATGACTATTTTTTTTCTACAGTCAGGGTGATGTATCCTGTGTCCGACATAAATGTAATTAATTTTCTGAGTTTGGGGTGTCACTGGGAAATTTTCAGAGCTCTACGCACAATGCTGATCAGATATGAGAGTTGCAGATTGAAACAAGACTACAATGCAGGTCTGTTGTATTTTTGAACCAAACAGTTTAAATACAAATGCTATTTTCAAAGCAGCGATGGAGTGGTCATGTTGTTTTTCCCCCGCCCCCAACTCTATGGTTAAATTTGCCTAATTTAGAACTTTTTTCAGCAGCCACCTAGAAGATGGGCACTGCATTTTACTAGTAGTGGCAGTCTAGGTGGAAATTTTGAGACTTCAAAGTACTTTAGAAGATTAAGGAATACTCCTACACTGTTCACCACTTCCTCCTTTATCAATACCCACTGGATTTTGTTATTAAATGAAAACCTAGAAAACGGAGGTCTTTATCTTGAAACTAGGGCTG